AAAGCCCATTTGCTATGGCATATGGATCCGAAGTTGTCATTCCCACTGAGTCCATAATCCCAACCCTTCGGACATCCTTGGTACTGGAACGGAACAACGAGCAACAACTCAAACATAGCCTTGATTTGGTGGACGAAAGGAGAGATGCAGCAGCAATTCGACTCGCGGCATACCAACAACAGGTGTGTAACAGTTATAACAAACGCGTCAGGTTCAGGAGTTTTGTGGTAGGCGATTGGGTTTTGAAGCAGGAGACAGCTCATGTAAAGAAACTGGAACCTAATTGGACCGGACCCTACAAAGTTACCGGAGTAGTGGGGAAAGGAGCATATCGTTTGGCCGAAGATGGCGGACGTCCCATTGCGCGTCCTTGGAACGCAATACACCTGAAAAGGTATTTTCATTAGTTAAGTTTGTCAATTTTGTTACAAGTTTTTCACAAATAAGGCTGAATATGTCCACAGTCAACCAAACTTTTCTTTATTTTGCTTCTATATTCAATACAACTCTCCTCTATTTTTGTTTCTTTTTATAAAAATGGGGGCATACGAACTCTATGATTACGCAACTTTTATGCGCATGCCAAGTCGCACTATGCGTTAGAAGCAAAGCATTTACAATGATTTTTACACAAAAAGAACAAAAACACAAACACAAAAACCAACATGCACACAAGACACAAAACACATGAATTATGGCCCAGCATGCTTACACAACACAAGCTATCCCACATCGACGAAATAGTATGTGCCATATTTTGTTATATATGGGAATATTCAAATAGTTAATTACGGTGTAAGGAGGGCCCACTGGTATTTAAGGCTGTCAGGCTCAATACCAGAGGCATTCCTTACACCGACTTTTTTGACAACATTTAGTCTATGTCCCACATCGGATAGAAATAGAAAAGAAATGCGGTTCATATATGCGTGGTCCATAACATTTGGCTGCCAAGAAGGGATTATCAGTGGAGGCAGGTCTCTAAAGTCAACAAATGGAGAACTTCACAGCCACTGTTACTCGCTTTCTTGGCCTCCTATCATTTTTGAGTCTTCGGCCTCATAATAAGTGATTTGAGGAAAAATATGAGATAAACCTCCCCTCAGGCTCAGTGCCGGGGAGTAATCCATTCGCCTCGGACCTTAAGTGTCCGGTTCGGCACAACCTCCCCTCAGGCTCAGCGTCGGGGAGTAGTTCTCTCGCCTCGGACCCTAAGTGTCCGGCTCGGCAAAACCTCCCCTCTGGCTCAGCGCCGGGGAGTGATTCATTTAAACCTCCCCTCAGGCTCAGCGCCGGAGAGTAAGTCATTCGCCTCGGACCCTAAGTGTTCGGCTCGGCAAAACCCCCCTCCGGCTCCATGCCAAGGAATGTATAATTTGCCTCGGATCCTGAGTATCCGAGACAGCTTCGGACCCTAAGTGTCCTATTCAGCAATACTCCTCGCCTCGGATCCTGAGTATCCGAGACAGCTTCGGACCCTAAGTGTCCTATTCAGCACTAGTCCTCCACACTCAGTGCCGAGGAATAATTCGCCTCGGATCCTGAGTATCCGAGACAGCTTCGGACCCTAAGTATCCTATTCAGCAATATTCCTCCACACTCAGTGCCCAGGAGTAATTCGCTTTAGACGTCTGATACTCAGATCAGAACTCTTTCCTCCGGACTCCAAGTGTTTAATACCTTGTGTATGCGGATATGTCATAAGTTCATCATATTCCACCCCACATCAGGAACACATGAGAAGGAAAGAGTATGTATACGTCTACTGAAGGCAAGTAGAAGGCGAGGAGGGTTCATTTAACAGTTAAATCAGAGAAATATGAACAGTATCAAGAACATACAGTAAAAACAAGTCAAGCAAGCCTAAAATGAAAAGTTATATTCATTATCCCAAAACAGGCTGTTCATAAAAACAAAATACATAGTTCTACTTCCTCTTTGGATCGAAGGGAGTAGATTCAAAAGCATCCACTACATTATGACTTGAGGTAGCCGCAGGCGCAGGGGAGCTAGGAGTACCCTTCAGGTGTGCCTTCACCATCTCGGCAAAGCGAATTTCAACTTCCAAAGCCTCTGGCCCTTCATCGTATGGGAAGTGCACCCCCACCTGCTTGTCAAAGGCGTCCGGATCCGTCGTCTTAGGGCCTGAACCCTGATTATAGCCAGACCGGAACGCTTTAGCACTAGCCAGGTGCGCCAGACAGGAGTAGCGCCCCTGCATTTGCTTCCCCACCTTGAAGCAAGTAGTAAGAGCCTCGATCAGGCGTTGAACCTCGGCCTGAAGAGAATCCACCTTAGCCTCAGAGGCTGACAACTGCCTCTTATACGCATCCTTGGCTTTAGAAGCTATCTTCAGATTGGTAGAGGCAGTAGTGGCTCTCTTCTCTGCATTGTCAAGATCCTTCTCCAACTTCTTGATGGAGAGGGATTGAGCTTCAGCAGTGGCGCAGAGGGCCATGGTGTGGTATAGACTCTATTTAACAGGGAAGCAAATATAAGCACAAATAGAAACACAAGCAAGTAAGAGTAATATAATTCTGAAGGTGCAATGCGAACCTCTATGGCCCGGACTGGGGCAGAGGGGAGTAGTTGCTCCAACCCCATTTGGCTGATGGCTTCCTCGTCCTTTGGGAGCCACATTCCTCGAGCCACCGCCAGTGCAGCTGAAGGGTCTGTAACCACAGAATCCCCTGAGTGTAGGACTGACTTGTCAGCCCTGGTGAAGGAAGGAGTCCAAGGAGCCCCAGTCTCAGCAAGAACAAAGGCCCTGACTTCATCTTCAGGTTCGGCCTCTCCAGTTTTTTTCCCTCTGCTTTTAGAGGGGACTTTGCCCTTGCCAGAGGAAGAGGGGTTGAGGCGAGATTTCTTCAATGGTGGTTCCTCAACCTCCACCTCATCCTCAGTTGAGCCAATGACGACCAAGGGTTAGGCGTCTCCGGCTTTCTTTTTTAAAGCCTTAGCCCGCCGTATCTCCTCCTCGGTCATAGGGAAACTATCAAAGGATGGTAAAGCCAAATCCATGAGGTCTGCAGCAACGGCACTGGAAGCAATGTCCTTGAGGTTGGAGGAAGTTAGCAGGTCCTCGATAGGCGAGGGGTCACTCCAGACTCGTTCCTCAAGAAAAGAAAGTCTGTTCCTTGCTGCGGAGGCTGGGAATGTAGCTGAAAAAACACCAAGAAATTCATAAATACGGCGAAATATTAAGACTTGGCAAGGAAAACAGCCAGAACACTTGGTATGAATGGAGGTTAAATATTCTATACCTAATTTCCCGAATTTGCGCGAAATGGGAAGCGCAATTGATTGGGACACAAACCATTTTCCTTTAACTACAACCATCCTTTCTTTCCATTTCTTCTCGAATGAAGGAAGGTTCGTGCATATCCTTTGATGAAGGGGAGAGGTAAAAAAGAAGTGACCAGGCTCGGTCCCATGTTTAGATATATTGTAAGTAAGCAGAAGGTCGGCAAGGGTCAAATCCAGAGCCTCTAATTTCCGGCGCACCAACAACGCCGAAAGGATGCGAAAGAAATTGGGATTTACTTGAAGGGGGGCAAGACCTAGCTTATTGAAAACTAACTGATAGAAGGGATGAAGAGGGAATCGGAGGGCGTTAAGGTGCCCTACCAAAAGAAGCAACTCATCCTCCTCAATTCCCTCGCCGGAGGTGAAATCGGCACTCTCGGGATATTCTGCAATGTTTACTCCTTCAGGAACATCAAATTCTTCCATTACCGAAGCAATAGAGAATTTGATGCGGCGAATAGAGATGATTGCTTTCTTCTCTTCATGGGTAAGAACGTAATCAGAGCCTGAGGTGGATGTTTCGGTTGGAAGAGGGGAAGTACCTGATGGATTCAACGAAGGGCGATCTGTAGAAACCCTAGGAGGGGGAGCCCTAATGCGAATGGGGGAAGATGAAGGTGTGGATTTAGAATCGCCAAGGTCTACACATTCGGGAGTAGATGAAGTACTCATAATGAAAGATTGAAGAAAAAGATGCGAAACTAACCTGACAAAGCGATGGAAGCGATGGAATGAAGGACGCAGAAGTGCAGCGAGGGCAAATGTAACTCTTGCAAAGTCTTGTGTGACGGATTAATAATGAAAGACCACGAACCGTTTCTGAAGTAAAGTAAAAACCGGTTTCAATTCCCTCTTTAATAGGAGCCGTCACTCAATTAAAAATGGAATTTGGGGCAAAGTGTGGAGGGAAAAAAACTCCCTCCAATAAGAAGCGCACACGTCACCACTACCCATATCTACATTCCAAGGACATATAAGGCCCATCATGCTCAAGCCCAAATTGAGGGTATTTACAGCCCAAGACCATTGTTAGTTATCCTCCAACTTCCATCAAGGCCGAATCAAGAAGTCATCAGCCTAGCTTGTCGTCAGCCCAGCGTATGAGTATTTAACATCCGGCCTGTTACCCAAGCCCAGCCGGATCAAAATATATTCAGCCCAAGAATGCGCAAATCCTACCATTTGAAGGATTTACTGTAGAAGGAAAATTCGGATAGGAAGTTCTATACAAGGCAATTTCTATGTATGGAAGATTCGACAATGGAAAGAACTCTATTAGAAAAGAATGGTTATATAGAAAGAATTGGAGGGCAAGCAACGCGAGTCCTACCATAATTTTGCAATCTTTTGTATATAAATAGAGGCTAAGACCTCCAATAAAGGATCAAGCAATTCGACACTTCTCTATACATTGTTCTTATTTATTTTTATTGTTTTTGAGTGAGTTGTTTTATTTTTCTCAGTCATTATTGGTTGAGCGAAATTTTGCACCTACAATATATATATATATATATTAAAAAGCATAAAACAAGATTTGGAACATTGAAATACAAAGAAAATTTGTCAAGATTAGGCGAAGTTCAAATTCTTTGTTTAATGAGCCTAACCTAGACACACATATATAGTCTCTAATAGCGCATAGAGGAAGCGTTTAGAAAATAAAAAAGGGTTTTTGAATAATGAAAAAAGAATACCTCAATCGGACGAAGACGGCATGACCTTGGCTGGATCAATGTCAACGACGGCAGGATGAAGACGATGCGGACGCTAGATAAGTTGAGAAAACTGAAAAAATTTGGACTCACAGAGGGGGCAGATTTGGCTAGTCGATCGGTTGGCGAGAGGAAGGATTTGAGGGGTTTGAAGCTGACAGATTTGTACGATAGGAAGGTTTGGGCGTTTGAAGACGTCGATGAGAAAGAGGAGTTTTAGAAAAGGAAAATGGTCTTGAAATAGTGACGTTACACTCACATATAATTAGGGTATAATAATAATTAAATACCTGGAGCTGGAAGGCGCGCCATTTGTTTTGGTGGGAAGAAATAAATTAACAAAAGCCTAACGCGAAAATTCAAAATAGGTTGAAAATTTTAGCGGCCCATCAGAATATTGTTTGTTACACATATTTTTAAAATAAATATTTAAATAAATTATACAGTACTTTTTTCATTGAAAGACAAGTAAATTCCGAAAAAATATTCTTTAGTACTAACAAATCCTAGTTTTGAGTTTTTTTTCCATTTAAGTCTAAAATAGATTTGTTCTTAATTTAATAAAAAAAAAACATTAGTATTCTTCTATTTATAAAATAAAATAGCAAATTTTTTTATTTTTATAATTGTCATTTCAAATTTATTCTATAAAATACCCAATAAAATTTATTTTATTTTCTTTTTATTCAAATTTTATGTCTAAGGATATGTATGAAAGTTTGAGTCTAAATGCATATCTAATTTAGCAAGAGTAGATCTAATTTGTATAGGTATAAATGGAAGATTTACTCATTTAAGTCCAAAAATTTATTTTATTTTATTTTTATTCAAATTTTATGTCTAAGAATATGTATGAAAGTTTGAGTCTAAATACATATCTAATTTAGCAAGAGTAGATCTAATTTGTATAGGTATAAATGGAAGATTTAGTCATTTTGGACTTAAATGAAAAAAACAATCTCAAAGTAGGACTTAGTTGTCCTAAAAATAAATTTTAAGAGACGTTTGTTTTTCAATGTGAAAATTTGGACTTGATGGTAATTTTTTCTAGTTAATATTACTTGCAAAAATCATGAAAAAGTTTTGTTGTAAAATATATATTTGGAATGACATTTAAGTTATAACTAATTTTATACTAATATGTCATGAGATAATTATTAATATGCTAAAAACTAATTAATTATATATGTAACTAGACATTTAATTAAACATGCAAATTAAAGCAATAAAATAATAATAATAAATAAATAACCTGGATAAAGGCTAGTATTGAATACTATGTCCTAAAGACAATTTACGCCTCGCATGGGCTAACGGACTCTATGGTGCTTGTCTCCCAAGATACAACGGTTTACATCCACCCGTAGCAGCACTATAAACTCGTGGATACGGAGAACCTCCTCTGACTCAAAAAATGCATCTATACTATAAAATGATAAAAATTGGTGCAGCTCAAACCAAATGGTTCAAACCAAATTAAAAATGGCTCGGTAAAATTATATTTATATGTGTCTCTTCATCAATGGACACAACCATTTATATGTGTTTATTTATTACCAGACACACTCAGTGCAATAGGTTGGAATGGTTCACATTGAATATGTTATGTCTATTGGTTTTGAGTTGTATTTTTTTATCCCGCATCTAACACATTCAGAACTATTAATATATTCAGAAATTTCAATTCATATTCTCTATTACTTTTGGAACTGAAGCAAATAAATTCATAATTACTAATAACCTAATACATTTATAATTACTAATTAATCAACAACAAACAATCAACCACAATTCAAAATTCAGCAACTATATATATATATATATAAAGAATCATCTAATAAATTGATAAGACTTGAGACAATTAAGAGTGGACCATAGGATTGATAGTTACTACAAACTTCTAAGTGATTTGGATTGTAGGATAATATTATATTTTTATATACTATGATTTAACACACACACACACACACACACACACATATATATATATATATATATAAAACAAAACGATTCGGTCTAGTTCGGTCCTAAAGGATCTCAAACCGTGACAAAATCGTATCTTTACGGTTTTAAAAATTTAGAAATATTACCGAACCAAACCATTAGCAAACAAAACTGTATCTTTACGGTTTTAATTTATAATTTTTTTTTTTGTGGTGGAGTTTTATATAAATTATTTTATTTTTATTAAATATATCCTTGTCTAATAAGATATCCTTTTATTTAAAAAAAAACTCATATAAATGTATTCTTGTCTAATAAATAGATAAATAGATAATTTGTGTCAGAATGGTAATTTGTGGTAGAGTTTTATAGAAATATGTAATTTGTGATAGAGTTTTATAGAAATTATTTTATTTTCTTTAAATATATTCTTGTCTAATAAAATAGATAAATAGCTAATTTGTGTTAGAGTTTTATAAAAACTTTTTTTACATCAATTAATAAATATTTTTTTATGGCAGAGTTTTATAGAAATTATTTTACTTTCTTTAAATATATTATTGTCTAATTAGATATCCTTTTATTAAAAAAAAAAAACTCATAATAAATAGATAAATACAGGTTATATGTGATAGAGTTTTATAGAAAATAAAATAGGGAATTTGTGGTAGAGTTTATAGAAATAAGTAATTTGTGGTAGAGTTTTATAGAAATTATTTTATTTTCTTTAAATATATAATTTTCTAATTAGATTTCTTTTTATTAAAAAGGAAATCTAATTAAATAGGTAAATAAATGTATTCTATTGCATGTTCATTTAATTCAACATTAGTTTAATCAAACAAACAAACTTTCTTTCAATCTCACGTTCACTATGTCAAGTTAGATTCTAAGTCATATATCCTAGTGGACGATCCCTTCTCACTATACTTACATATACGTGTTAAGTGGCTTTTACAAATGTAAAAGTTGATACACATTTGACATATCAAATATAACACATTTTTGTGGTATATACCAAAGTCGCATCAACATTCAAAAGTACCGCTAATATATTCAAAACTTCTAATTCATTATTCTGCTAACATATTCGTAATTGAAGTGAATTAGTGAATACCTTTAGAATTGCTAATAGCCTAATACATTTTTAGAACTACTAATTCAACAAGAAATTAACATCTTAGCTCAGAAAATTAACTAACAATATTTAGCCACTATAGAATTATATTACTCCATATTATATATATAATTTGATACATATACATATATACAACTTAACTGTTCGATTTGGTCGAGTTTGATCTTAAAGGACCTCAAACCCTGAACAAATTGTATATTATATATATATATATATATTCTCTTATTTAAATTTAAATATGAATTATACAAATTACCCCTTAACTTTATTATTAGAATTAATTTATCATTAAAAAAAATATTTATAACTACCATTTTATAAAATGATTAACTTATTATTAGAACATTGGGGCATTTTTGGCAATAGGTGGTATTAGGCACAAAATATAATTCAAGGGGGTTATTTGCAAATTCAAGTATAGTTTAGAGAGTTTTTTGCACTTTACCATATATTTTTATATATACACACACTTTTTTATATTAAAAATATACCTTATGATAAGTTTTAATTTTTTTTATTATTTCTCAAACAAGTATATGGTGACAGAAAGCTAATTTGTGACAAGAATTTATTCTTTTGTGACGAAATATCTTTTGTTGGTAAAAGATAGAAATTGGCGACAAATAATTTGTCACTAAAAGTCTATTAATTGTGACAAAGTGAGTTTTGTCACAATAACTCAATCTTTTGCGACAATGCATCATTTGTCACTACAAGGTTGTTTGTAGCGACAACAATTTTTGTCGCTAAAATACCATCAATTGTGACAAAGCTAAATTTGTCACAATAACTTAATCTTTTGCGACAATGAATCATTTGTCACTAGAAGGTTGTTTGTAGCGATAACAATTTTTGTCGTTCAAATGCCATCAATTGTGACAAAGCTATATTTGTCACAATAACTCAACCTTTTGCGACAACGCATCTTTGTCACTAAAATGTTGTTTGTAGCGACAACAATTTTTGTCGTTAAAATGCCATCAATTGTGACAAAGCTATATTTGTCACAATAACTTAACCTTTTGCGACAATGCATCATTTGTCACTAGAAGGTTGTTTGTAGCGACAACAATTTTTGTCGTTAAAATGTCACCAATTGTGACAAAGCTATATTTGTCACAATAACTCAACCTTTTGCGACAATGCATCATTTGTCACTAGGAGGTTGTTTGTAGCGACAACAACTTTTGTCGTTAAAATGCCATCAATTGTGACAAAGCTATATTTGTCACAATAACTCAACCTTTTGCGACAATACATCATTTGTTACTAGAAGGTTATTTGTAGCGACAATGATTTTTGTTGTTAAAATGCCATCAATTGTGACAAAGTTATATTTGTCACAATAACTCAATCTTTTGCGACAATACATCATTTGTCACTAGAAGGTTATTTGTGGCGATAATGATTTTTGTCGTTAAAATGCCATCAATTGTGACAAAGCTATATTTGTCACAATAACTCAACCTTTAGCAACAATGCATCATTTGTTACTAGAAGGATGTTTGTAGTGACAACAATTTTTGTCGTTAAAATGTCACCAATTGTGACAAAGCTATATTTGTCACAATAACTCAACCTTTTGCGACAATGCATCATTTGTTACTAAAAGTTTGTTTGTAGCAACAACAAGTTTTGTCGTTAAAATGTTATCAATTGTGACAAAGCTATATTTGTCACTAAAAGTTAGTTAATCGCGACAAAGTTATATTTGTCACTATATTGTAATTAGTTGCGATAATATATTTGTCATTAAAATCAATTTTGTCGCCATACCCTTTCCCACCATATGGTGGGACTTGAGGAAATTCCCGGGGTAGACATTGCGACAACTTTTTGTGACAAATTTGGTTTTTGTCGAGTAAAGTTAGCTTAAGGCGGCAAAGTTACTTTTTGCTACGAAAGGTCATTTTATTGCGACAAATTCACCTTGTCGCTATAGTTTTTGTCGCCAAAGACCAAATTTGTTGTAGTGACACCGACGTCGTTCTTATCCTCAGGTCTAATCCTTAAGCGCACACACACATCAATCTCTATGTCTACTCTAGACACACGGTCTAACCATTCTCAACACAGGAGTTAAATCACAGATACTAGGCGCCACTGCTAGCTCCAAGACCCTAAGAAAATGTACAAAGCGGTCAATAAGTCGCATCTAACGTTGCATCGGTCACGACCTCT